AGATTAGGAACACCAGCCACCTCGCTTCCATATTGCCGATGACGACGTCATACTGCCGCCACAAAGTTGTTCCCTCATATCCGTGCACTGTGACAAGTTACAAAACGGTACTGGCATCACTAAACACATGAAGGAGCTCGCATTCACTAGCGGCATTTCTGTTGCCAGCGCTGTCATCACTGTTATTGACGGATGCGCTGAACTACTATTGACAAATTTCAGCAGAGAACGCCGACACATAGTTAAAAGCACGGCATTTGCCCATTTTGACGAACTTTCGCAAACAGAATACGTTGCTGCTTCCTCCACTAAAGTGCAGGAAATAGCAGCGTCTACTATCACTACACCGACACCTGTCGACGTTGGTCTAATGTTATCTCCCATTGAGCGAGACCGCCTTCTCACGCTGATCAACAAGTTCCACGGCTGCTTCTCATCCACATGAAGAGTTGGTCAAACGGCACTGACGAAAACCACATCATCACGGATGCCGACGCCAGACCTATCCGGCAAAATCCTTATCGAGTCGCCCCAAAGGAGCGTGAGGCAATTCAAAAACAGGTGAAAACGATGCTAGAAGATGGTCTTATTCGGCCATCTAACAGTCCTTGCGCATCACCTGTAGTACTCGTCAAAACGAAGGACGGTAGCTTGCGTTTCTGCGTCGACTACCGTAAGCTTAATCAGATCACAAAGAAGGAAGTCAGCCCTATGCCGCGTATTGATGATTCATTGGATAGACTACGAAACGCACGTTACTTTTCGTCTATGAACCTAAAAAGCGGCTACTGGCAAATTGAAGTGGATGAGAGAGATTCTGAGAAGACCACCTTTGTTACGCCCGATGGACTTGATGAATTTCAGGTTTTTCTTTTCGGTTTTTGTTCGGCACCAGCAACATTCCAGCGTCTCGTGGACATGGTTTTGTCGGGACTTAAGGGGCAAACCTGCTTGGTGTACTTCGACGACGTGATTGTTTTTTCGGCGACTTTCGAGGAACACTTAGGAAGGCTCGAAGCAGTTTTTGAAGCAATACGCTTGGCCGGTCTTTCTCTAAAACCAGAAAAGTGCCACTTCGGCTTCCACGAACTTCAATTCCTCTGTCACGTCGCGAGCAGCCAAGGGATCCGACTCGACCCGGATAAAATTGTCGACGTGGCAAACTTCCCGACGCCATCAGACAAAAAATTAGTGCGACGTTTTTTTAAGACACTGTGCCTATTACCGGTGGTTTATTGCTAATTTTTCGCGCATTGCATGGCCATCGACACAGCTTACTCGGGAAGATACCCCCTTCAGATGGGGCGGAAAACCAGCAGCAGGCATTTCACGAGCTTCGTCAGCGCATGCAAACACCATCCGTGCTGGCCCATTTTGATGAAGACGCGCCAACAATACTTCATACAGACGCTAGTAATGTGGGTCTTGGAGCAGTGCTCGTACAGTCGAAAGACAACAACGAAAACGTGATCCTCTACGCCAGCAGGACGCTGTTGCGAGCTGAAGCTAATTACACTACGACGAAAAAAGAATGTCTTGCATTGGTATGGGCAGTCCTGTAGTTTCGTCTTTATTTGTACGGCCGCCCATTCACCGTTATCAGCGATCACCACTCCCTCTGTTGGTTAGTGAACTTGAAAGATCCGTCTGGCCACCTTGCACGAAGGAGTCTTCGGCTCCAAGTTTTTGACTTCACTGTTGCCTACAAGTCGGGAAAACGACACACCGATGCCGACTGTCTTTCTCGGTCTCCTGTTGAGGCGGCATCCCCGACAACGACGATGACGACACGGCCTTTCTCAGAATTGTGGACACTGCCGCCTTTTCTCAACAGCAGCGTTGCAATGCTGAGCTGCTACCACTTATAGATTACCTACAAGGGCGAACGGATAGCGTTCCGAAGTTATTTGCGAGAGGGCTGCTGTCGTACTGCTTGCGAAATGACGTTCTTTATAAAAGGAACTTATCACCCACCGGCAGCAGCTACTTGCTCTTCGTTCCTTCTTCGCTTCGCCGTGGGTACTCCAAGCCTGTCACGACGAACCTACCACTAGTCACTGGGGTTACGCAAGAACATTGGCGAGGATAAGGCGGAACTATTACTGGTGTAGTGGAGCATACGCACCAACGCGTATGCGCCTTCGGAAGACAACAAAAAGCCCGTGCTCTGCTTGCGCGAGAGTTTGTGCCGCCTCTGCCAGACTTGCCGTACGCCCACTTTCCGTTGCGACCTCGCTGCGACTTCTCGGCTCGAATAAACGTCATCACATTTCGTGGAGCGTGCTGAGATCCCCAAGAAGACCTGGAGCTCCGCTCTCGCAAGTTGCCTGAAAGACTACCGCGAAACATGACTGACGCAGTCGCCCACCAGCCCGTCCCAGCCCAGCCAGCACCATCGGCTGCCCCGTCGACCTGCCCCGGTGCTACCCGTCAGCGGGACCCACCAATCTTCAGCGGCAGTGGTGAGCAAGACGTCGAAGACTGGCTCTCCTTGTACGAACGCGTGAGTGCCAGCAACAAATGGGACAACGACTCCAAGCTTGCCTATGTCATCTTTTACTTGGCTGACGTCGCCAAGCTATGGTTCACCAACCCGCACGTTCCTGGCCTATCTTCCAAACTTCTGGCCCGGTACCATGGTCCGTACCGTATCATTGACGCGACCTCCCCGGTGAATTACATCATCGAGCCGTTAACACAATCACCAGATTTGCGCCGTCGAGGACGCGAGACCGTACACGTCGACCGTCTCAAGCCCTACTACGACCCCATCATTGTGCCTACTCCCTGAGTCGCCAGGATGGCTACCCTTCATCCCGGGGGTATTGTAGTGGAGCATACGCACCAACGCGTATGCGCCTTCGGAAGACAACAAAAAGCCCGTGCTCTGCTTGCGCGAGAGTTTGTGCCGCCTCTGCCAGACTTGCCGTACGCCCACTTTCCGTTGCGACCTCGCTGCGACTTCTCGGCTCGAATAAACGTCATCACACTGGCCAAGACTTGCCGAAGTTGTCAAAACTTACGTGCAGGCATGTCTAGATTGCCAGCGCCACAAGCCACCATCCATCAAACCAGCTGGCCTGCTGCAGCTTGTCCGAGTGCCGGCGACACCGTTTGCACAAATTAGCATGGATTTTCTGGGCCCCTTCCCAAAGTCTGCCACTGGAAACAGGTGGATAATCGTCGCCACGGATTACCTGACCCGATACGCGGAGACAGGCGCTCTGCCATAGGCAACGGCAGCTGAAGCGGCGCAATTTTTCATCGAAGCCATCGTCTTAAGACACGGTGCTCCCGCAATAGTCATCAACGACAGAGGTACTGCGTTCATGGCGGAGCTTTTGAACACCGTTTTCCGACTAAGTGGTACAGCTCACAGGAAGACAACGGCGTATCATCCCCAGACGAACAGGCTCACTGAACGCCTTAACAAGACCTTGGCTGACATTGTAAGCACGTACGTAGATTTAGAGCACAAGAACTGGGACATCATTTTGCCCTACGTCTCGTTCGCGTACAACACGGCTCGTCAGGAGACCACTCGGAAGACACCCTTCAGTCTCCTTTACGGACGCGAGGTTACGACAACGTTAGACGCAATGCTCCCTCATGAAAATGATGGCAATGAGACGCACGTCGAAGAGTTTACCCAGCTAGCAGAAGAAGCTAGACAACTCACCAGGTTGCGAATCACCAAACAGCAAGACGACGACGCCAAACATTACAACCTCCGGCACAGACCCGTCATATACAACATGGACGACAAAGTATGGGTTTGGACACGTATTTCAGCGTGGGCTCTCCGAAAAGCTGTTGCGAAGGTACCTCGGACCCTACAAGGTTCTGCGACGAAATCAGCGACGTCAACTACGAGGGTGTTCCGGACGGCGTGCAGAGTTCAAAGCGGCACAGACATTCACCAAAAATAATCCACGTGCTTCGGATGAAGCCTTAATTTCAGTGACTAACTGTGCAGTTTTGGTTTTGCCTTGCTTCTCAAACGTTTAACATCGCGACGATGTTTTTTTAAAGGGGGAATAATGCCGCGCGTATGTGCCAGTGGTGAGGACAACGAAGCAGCGCGAGTGTCCTTGGCCGAGGGCAAAAGACAAAGAAGTCGTGGCAGTCTGTTTCCTGCGATCGATAAATCGTATTTGTTTGAGGCGCTTTGTGTGCTCGTCAATCTCGCGTCGTCACAATATACTGACTGAAGGTATAGAACGCAATTAGTTTTTAGGCAGCGCCGTGGTCCCAAATCCTGTCTTCTTCTGTCTTTAAACGTTGTTTTTCTCTCATACGTTTTACTCCAGGCGCGCATATGTTGCGTATCGTGGCTACGTTTACTGAGTCACCGAGCGGAAAAAAAGAGATGGCAACGTAAGTTAAGCAAAAAACTAAAACCATGCTGAGAGTTGCTGCATTATGGCAGTCCTATTTGTTGTCGACAATGTCGGTACAAAAATACGTAAGAAAACATGATTTGAAGTTGATGGCCTACAAACACGCGTGTCCAGTCTCGACAGAATAGCTCCTCAAAAAGGAACGCCCTTGAGCTACATTCAAGAGGCTAATGCTTCCTATGGAATCTGTCTACATCTCTTTCTCGAAAAAAGCAAACTAGAGAGTGCAATTTTTTCTTGTATCTTGTTCTTTTTTTTTGGTGAGCGTCATACTTTATATTTACGACGTACACCACTGCGGCATCAGTCACCCGCGTAGCTGTGACAATATTTGTGTCTCCTTGAGGAACTACATGAATGGAACCCATGATGGACCTCTGCAATAGCCATAGCTGATACCAGCCCACAATCAACGGTGATGGCATTCTCGCCTTTACGACAACTGTCGTAACAACGGCTGATATGCGGTAATGGCGAGAATCTGAAGAGCCCCGGCGAGTTGTTGGTTCAAAGCAAAAAACTGCATTTTCACATAAGTCAACTGCATCTCGAAAGTGCTCATGAAGCAGAGACTGCGCCACGTGCATACAAGGTCACAGAACGAACGCTCGGCAGTGCATATATGTAGGGCCCCAGAGGTTCCCAAACGGAGACTGCATAGAGCGAAATAACGCGATGATGCGTGAAGTGTTTGCCGTTGTCTTCGTTTTCTCGCTATGCAGCACCAACGTTATCCAAGCCAAGCTCGGAGCACCGGGTGGTCCCATGAAGTTGAAGTTGCTCCATCTACCGGACAGCTTCAAGGTATACAGTTTTCGAAACGGTTACTGGCGAAATCCCAACAACATAGCTGCTTAATCCAACCGCGAGTCTTTCTAGAACATACTGTAAACTCTCATCGTGCTCATGGCACGTGCTGCCTGCACCCGCTTCATCTTTTGTGTTCACGTGTGCCGGTTTGTCCGACGTGAGATTTCATAATCGTGACGGGGAAAGAACGAGAACTAAGTAGTGGTGAGAGAGATAGATAGGTAGGTAGTTACTGAAGCTTATTATAGGAAAGAAAGCCATGAAAGTAATAAAAATAAATTCCTGCCAACTAAATTTTTGGTGATGTGAGAGTCAAACCGGCGTGCCCGTGATCCAGGCACCGGCGTCGTAACCACTCGTCTATCCAGACACGAGAGCAGAGCGTAGCCTTGTATTGTATGATGCGCGCCGGTGTGTGAAAGGAAAGCGAGGGTAACAAGGATAAGGAGTGGTGTTGAAGAGAAGAACTAGAAGCAAGGAAGGAATGTACAACAAAGCATAGAAAAAAGAAAACCAAACAGAAAAGAAGCACGACAACAGAAGTATTCAGAGAGGAAATCGATAATAAGATAAAAAAGACTACAAAAAAGAAACAGGAAAAAAATTCGAAGCGTATCTGAGCAAGCTATTCATTTAAATGCAGAATACGGCAGCGCAATAATAGTGTACGTTGGAGTTTAACATCCCAAAACCACTATATGAGTACAAGAGAGGCTACAATAGAGGGCTTCGGATATCTCAACAACTTGGGGTTCTTCACCGTGCACCCAAATCAGAGCACAATGGGCCTCAGGCATTTTCGCCTCTAATGAAAGTGCGGCCACCACGGCCGGGTCAGCAGCCGAGTGCCTTAGCAACTCGATATGCGGGACTGTGATCGGGTGCCCTGCGCATCGCCTCGAACTATACCGCGTGGAAAGGAAGCGTTGAGCGTGTAACATTATCCACTTCGAACTACCCTAAAGTACGTACAAAAGTACAGTAACCAGCTGACCGCTAGCCTCCATTGTAGCTGTTTCATTCGCAGGGGGCGCTGCAATTCAGAACACCTGCTTGCCACGTAGAAGGCCTGGGTTCATTTTTGACGTCGACAAAAAAACTTTCTTACCGTTCATTTGAATTTTTTTTTTGACTTGGTTGCGGACACCTATTTTCCGCTCGAAACAAAGGGTGAAGTCAACGAAGTTGATATCATTATTTTTGAGCAAAGAGCTCTTTGAAGCTATTTTTTGAAAAAAAATATAGAGCATTAAAATTGCATGAAGAAAAAAAGAAAAGAGGGATCTATAAGATAAAAAAAGAAAAAAACTGCAGTGGTTAGGCTCGGCTACGCCATGTAAGGCGGCACCGCTAAACTGAACATTTCGTGCATGGTGCTACTTACTGACATAGAGTCGTTCATGTGCTACAGTATTTCACACACATCACACGCATATACAAACGGATTGTGCATGAAGCTCGTCGCGAAGATAGGAGTCGCACTGGCGCTTTCACTGCGAGCCCTGACGTCATTGACGACGTCTTGCTGTTGCTCATGCTGAGATCGTCGGGCACGTTGCTCAGCCTCCTGGCTACGACGCTTTTCTAGGATTTTCTTGCCCGTGTATCTGGCGTACATTTATTCTTCATTCTCTTAACTCTTCCGACGCTTAACGGCTAATGGCCAGGCAACTACTTAGGCATCCGATGAGTTGTTTCGGCGCTCTTTGATTCCGCTGAGCAGAAATTTCACTCTCTTTGACCATGGCTACAGCACACAGGAAACGGCCCGCTATGTAGAAGTGGTGCCAAGATAGACGCGACCGCAGAAGAGGGCAGCGTGACTCAAAGTGCAGAAGTGACAGGGTAGGATCAGAATGCGTCTGCCTCGGCTGTGACGTAACTCCTCTGGAATCTACAGACTGGCTGAGGCACGCGCATTCACTGCTCCTTCACGCATGCCGCAGAACGGCACTTGTGGGTCCACGCGATACCGCTTTGATTGGGACCATGAAGTTTCCTGAAGTTAACTACAGGGGATCGTTCAGCGACCATGGGCATCATAGGAATAGACATAGATTTGCCTAGTATTCGTGCTTGCGGTCGGCGGACGCACATCTGGTTTCGCTTATCAGCTCTTTTTTAGTTCTGTCTTGAAGGAAAAAACAAACAGTTTTTCATTTCGTGCCCCGGTTTGAAGTGGTAAGCCTAAAAGGATAAGTTGGTGAAGCGTAACTGCCGAATATTTGCCGATAGTTGCTTTCTGACAAAGCAGCTCAAGCCACGCAAAGCCAGAACGATTGTAAAGTGCAGAGACTAAGCCAAATCATGTCTTATCCCTAATTTCCATGCTTGCTTAAGTGCTATGCGGTGCAGCTCCCATAGACACTAGCGCTCGAGTTCCCTCTAGTAGCTATTTAGGAGAGGCTATGACTCGCAGTGTGTAGCTATCGCTACAAAAAAAACAAAATAAAAAGAAACGTGATAGAAAAAGAGAGAACTCAATAAAGCGAAATAAATGAAGAGAATTAAAGAAGGACATCCTTAATTTCTTTGTAGCTTCGACATCGTCAATCGTAGTCCTAACTATCATGTGTCTGCCTCCATTCCATGCCTCTCGTCAGCTCATACTCAAGAGTTGGAGGCTCGAACTAAAATAGGACGAGCTCACGCTCTCTTCAAGACTATTGGCAAATTTCACGACCTATAGGTGGCGTGACTGCACATGTAACAAAGCTGTCGTTTAGATGATTACACCGAGAGAGTCCGTACCGGAAAGTACACTTCTGGCGAAGAGTACAACATTCAGCACTTCAGTGGCTCTTCAATTTCCAATTTTTTTAGAAAATAGCGAAGCGCTAACATACTATAATAAGTGAATATATGCCGGGTAGCACATTGGGTAGATAAGTATGCGCAAAATTGTATATAAGGCAGGCACGTACACTCTTCACCCGACTTTGTGAGTAACCGTGCGCAATGCCTGGTGTCAAGTTGAAAAGTATTGTGATGGAAGCCTCAGTACGAATTTTTCAGTAATGCCAGAAACATTTTTGGAGACGCGCTTTGTCTCACAGTTTGCTTGCATTGTATTCTGCGCAAAGCTTGCTCAGCTCAGCTAAAAGAAAGAAGTATAACAGTCTGACAATAAAGACTTGTTTTTCAACGCCAGACCACAAGTACCATTTCAGATTACCGGTAATGTGATTTTAGGGCGCTTTATTCATTGAAAAAACAACAGCCGAATTTCAACAGGATCAATTCGGCAAGCAGCGCGAACGCATGGTGGTAATATAAAAGCCGGAAGTTTTGGAGTGGACGTTCCCGTTACTATACCATGTTTCAGTGTTTGAGAAGTGCAAAAGATGGAATCGTGTGGGGCCAAAACGAAACAAAAAAGCGCAGTCAGAGAGTAGTACCAAACACAAATTGCTGCAATTGTGAAATTCATGGCGGTACTTCAAAGACGCTTCAGATGTGTAACGAGGGGATGAACGTTCTGAAAGTGGTCTTTTCATTTTACCCTAAATGCGGAACGCATTGCAAATTTTATTGGTACTGTTTGCACGAACCCCGTGTCGCCCAGACTATTTGAGCGCGAAATTTCCCCACCTGAAATTTCTTATACTCGCACTCAGAATGGGTGCTGCATACATACACGTCCTTGGTTATGTGCCAGTTAAATTCAACCCTCCTTACCAATAATAATTTGTTGGGCGCTAATTTGAACGGCAGGCTTATTTTACCTCACGGCGCATATAGGCTATGAGTAACCAGGTTCGCAATCAGTCGACTTTTCCTTTTTTATTTCTACTTTCCCTTTAACTTGAGAAACTCCTAAGTTTCCGGTAATATCTAGGCCATTCACAACGTTGGAAAGTGTCCACAAACGCAGGTAAATCAAGCAGCAACATTTTCTGTTTGAAGCACGCCCAAAACTTCAATGATCTCCACATAGATTGTGGCTGCCACCGCTAAGTGGCGCCACAGTATCTAGAAGTTGCGAGTAGACTAAGCTCTTATCGGCGCATCGTCAGTTTGGCCTTTCGTTTTTGAAAGATAGTGGCAAGGCTTAAACAGAGCACGTGCGTTGCAAGATGTATAGTGCACCTTATCAAAATCCTGCGTTCAAAAATTTAGAGGACCCTAAAGGTTCCTTTTCAAGAGCTGAACGCGATAGCGATATTCTGTTACTAGCGCGTACACTTGAAACATTCAACGCATGAAACCGTTTCTAGCTTGCTATGCACCCACTACGCAGCCTTGAGAAACAAGGGCTGTAGCGTGTGTGCCTTTTGTAGTGGGTTACCGCTTTTTTACCACAAATACATTATGATAATCACTTGTTCTGATGCTCGATGGCAATGGGCGCTTGTACCACACATTATTCTGCAATATTTCAGGTTCATTATGAAGCATGTATACAGAATGCCTGTTTTTGTAAAGCATTCGTTGCTTTCACAGCATTTCCAAGCAGAGGAAGTTTTGCTCACTGTATTTATAAGCAGAGGCGTGGCCGCGTGGTACATCTGCTTGCTCCCCAGCCATCCCCTCTACAATCCCCACTCGTACCTCAGTTTTCTTCCATTCATTGCATCGTCCTCAATTTTCGGGTCAAGCGTGAGACGATGATTTTTCGCTCACAAGCAACGACGGCGACACTAATGGCGGAACTTCTGAAAAGCAAGCTCTCTGACGCTATCGCGTTAAAATATTTTTTGACTCTATCGGCATGGACCAACCGATACGAAGAGGTCCTGCACTGTGTGTAAAAACACAACCACCAAACACCCCGTGTCTGTTAAGCGGCCCGCGTAAGGCAGTTTGTGTTTTTTGACAGTTGTGTCACTGATTCCACATTGCAGATCATCTCGAGCTGGGAGTCCGCACTAGCCATTGCGGTCTCGGACCCCACGTTCGACTGTATGATGGCTAATCGCACCACTATTGACTACGAGGCACAGACAGCAACCTTCGTGTGGACCCTCCGTGAGACCGATCGTTCGCCAAGGTATGAGTGAACTTCACGGGATATCTCGAAAATACTGCGGTGCTGCCATAGGGGGTTTGGTTTCGCGTGGTGCGCAAAAGCCGCTGTTCCCACCGCAGCCGTTGCTGTGTTTTCGCTGATGCGTGCGCTGTTTGCCATCGCGCAAGGAAGAAAAAACAGTGTTCCGGGAAGCTGATAATATGGATTATCTATCTATCTATCTATCTATCTATCTATCTATCTATCTATCTATCTATCTATCTATCTATCTATCCACGCACACCAGGGCGTTCTCATGATCACCCCCTTAACTTGGGGTACACCAAAATTAGTATGATAGAGTAAGATGGTCTGACGACTATGACGCGCTGCTCATAACATGATTATGTCACAATATCGTCTCGTACGTCATCAAACACTTTGATAAAAAAAGAGGAGCACATGCCCAGGGCGGGTATTGGCCACTATTATAAGAGTATGTGCCCCAAGTTATAACACTTTATATCTACCCTTAAACGCAAGAACACACATGGGTACATTTCACTAATGAGCGTTAAGAATAAACTGCCATAGGCAGCTTTGACCAGACGAATGGAAGCAATAAATGTCAGTGACCCACCAGCCTTCTAACCCTAGGATTCTGCTTGGCAATAAACTGTTCTACCACAGAGCCACGCCAGGCCTCAAATATACTTTTCAAACATACCTTAACATACATCGTGTAACGTCAACTGCAGTTGCAGTTCAGGCTATCGAACCACACGTGTGTACTCCTATGATACAGTCATTATGTCAGGTTTGCGCGAATTGTAGTTAGGCGAAATCCTCTGAAGTTGATTTGGGTAGCACACTGAAGGCTGTCATCCGTGCGCACACGAGAGCAAGCACCAGCGCTTGCATCAGCTTACCGCTTCCGGGGTTACTAGTATCTATGTAGTTGTTGGCATCATTCCGCAACTCTAAACAGCTGGTGGTATAAAACATACGCGCCTTTTTAACCTATATGTGTGCCCAGATTTGGACATATATTTAGCGCTATTTGATAACTTTTTGCTCAATATGAAAATTAGGCACATTGACCTTCTATCCACATGCTTCACTTAGCATATCCAGTTTCAAGGCATGTGGGATCGCACGATTATTTTTGTTTAGCTTTCTGTTTAGGTAAACCACTACAGAAGATTAGCCACAGCTGTAAAACGCGAAAACCTGCCTATCACGCAACTTCATTGGTTATGTTTTTGAGCGGCTTACCGAGAAAAAAGAATTAGCCCTTTCAGGCGTTCGTTTTTGAAATGTGCCCACCGCAGATTTTAGAATAAGCCTATGGTGAAGGTATATCAAATTCGTTCACCTCAGAATACGTTAACGTTGTGAATAGCACTCCCATACGTGAAGAATGTTTCACGGTTGTCATTGTTGACACAACTGCAGAAGTCGTAGACGCGTGAAAACGTTTCATTAGATTCGCGTGAACTAAGCATTTTAATTGGTCATAGAGCATGCATTTTTTAATTGATCATAGAGCATGCGTGGGTATAGTTCATCAGAGCAGCAGCGATCAAAAGGATCACTTGGTCAATGCGTTTTCCATTTATTAGTGGTGGTGATGACACACCTGACACAAGTGTACCAGGAGGGCTGTTCTCGCTGCGGTGAGCTTCACGAGATTTTTACATCTGTGCGAATTCACACAAACAAAAAAAAACAGCACACAGAAAACTTACCGAGTCACTTTACGGTCTTTACGCTTTTACGGTCTGTAGCTCGCAAATTCAGCAGCGGATCTGTTAGGTACTAATCGCCAGGGCAGTACCCAGAAATTTTTTCGTGGGGGGGGGGGGGGGGGGTGTAGAAGCTGTGCAAATTCTGAAGATTGATACCAGCTTATTTTCGTGTAAGAATAAAGTACATCGCTTACATTAATTGTTTTGTTGGTACTTTTTAATTATTTTACCTAGATAAAAATTGCTGTATTAACCTCAAAATATGGTCAACGCAAGAAATAAAGGTTCGGACTATTACATCACCAAAGACGGGGGCACCATGCACGGTTTCATGAACAAACACTATACCGCCTTTGTCATGCATGCCATTGCCGAGCACCATGCAAATATATACTGGAAGCTGCCAGCGAAAACTGTTTGTCGATGTAGTTTCAAGTGCTGGTCGTTCTTTTATGCAGATGAGTGCAAGTACTTATCGCGAAGGCCAAATTGTGGTACTAAATTATTTACGTTTTATTGGAACTTTGTTGAATGTGGAGGCACAATATTTGTGCAGATGTTAAGTGTGCCACAAAGTTGTTTTTGACTATACAACTCATGTGAACACCAATGGCTCCTGATAAAATAACACAATGTAACCGTAGTACGAAAACAGAATGTAATGAGTACAAACGAATGAAGGAGACTCTTGAAGCACTGAGAAATGTCAAAACGAGAAAGTTCTTCCTTCTAGGCAACTTGAAAAAAGTCTGTGAGAACTTGTTATGGGGTCACTTAAATTTGTCGATGGACGCTGAGGAGCACTAGTCTGGTATATCTGTCGATGCTCATATGATTCTCAAGTTAACATTTCAGCCTTCGCAGTGTCGAAAAAGTCCGTTCCGGGGTCGACGTTGACGCGGGTAGGGCCGCCAGGATGGAAAGCACTCTGTAGATGTTCGGAAAAAAACTCACGTTTGTACATCGCTAAGGCCTGTAGAGCGCAAGCTGGGCGATCATTTTCTTTGATCTGGCAGCTCTTACTCAACCACAGTGTGAACTCGGTTTCAATGGCATTAGCCAAAGTAATGTCATCAAGGTAAAACTGAACTGCGTCATTAACAGCAGAAAGGCTAGCCGATGCGCAGAATGTCGGCAGCAGAAATTTAAGGTGAATCAGGTCCTTATGGGCATAGAGCCGGTCCCTTAATTTATTTTCAAGGTCCACCAGCAAAGGCAGTTTCACATTCCTCGGTAAATACTTTTTGGGAGTAGCAGACGGTATGTTGCTTCTTTGCATCTGCAGCCTTCCAGTGATTCGTGGTAGGGCCATCTCAACGTTTGTGATAATCAGCAAAGAGACAGACTTCCTAAATATCTTGTTAAATTTAGTTTCTAGTGCTCAGATTTTTTCTGTAAAGACCGCTCATAACATTACCTACGTAATACACGCTTGTGACAAGTCGCATTTAACATTTGAACAAACTTGTAGAGTGGCAGGGTCAAAGAAAAGAGGTCACTGAAGATTTGAAGTGAAACAACAAACTCGGGCTTGGTAATGACAGTGAGCAGCTGAGACCCTTTTGATAAAGTATCAGATGACACGGCCTCGTCCTCAAATTGTTGAAGAAACTGCAGAATGGGCACGTACAGCTCAAGAAAACACTGAACGGCATCATGACTCTCCAGCCACCTTGTCTGACAAAAGGAGAGAATTGATTTCCTTTTTTCCTGTGTTATGTTTTCTACATTGTATTGAATTTGGTTCGTCCTCTGTGACGAAGCTCTCACAAACGCACAGGTTGCCGATACAGTCCCCAAAACAGTTGCGAACGCTGGAAAGTTTGCATGCACGAAGCAGTGCAAGGTTTAGTGAGTGGGCGCTACAATGCACGTACAACGCTTTGGGCGTGGTTTGGCGAATGAAGGCCTATACACCGTTTAGGTGGCCGCTCATTGATGCCATGCCGTCGTATCCTTGTCAGCAAAATATATTCAGGTCAAAGCCATCACCAATAAGGCTGTTTAGTATTGGGCTCACCAGTGCTTCGCCAGTCAGGTCGTACGCGGGAGCAAAGTCCACAAAATCTTCTTTCAGTACGGGCACTCCCATCGTGTCGTGTTCGACGTACTTTACACTTCGGCAAATGCTGGCAGCGCTAGATATATCAGTCGCCTCGTCAGCTAGGACTAAAAACGCGAACTTGAGTTGACATTTTCAACTATCTTTCTATATATAATTTTACCACTGATGGTGATCAATTCATTTTGAATTTTTGGACTCGTGCAGAGTGCATTCGCCGGAGATGTTTTCATGTGAGCTCTCTAGGTGGTATCTCTACATTTTCCTCGTATCCTAAGCACTGCCGGGAAATTTTCATCGTTTTTATTCGTAGCACTTTAAAAATATTTATAAGGCAGAGTCGCCCGTATTGCTAAGTGCACCTCTTGCCTAACAGAGAAAATGATTGTTTCGATTATTGGCAGCAAGTTCTTGCGGTTTCATCCACCTGCTTTTTAAGGCTGTGGTCAATGTTTGTCAAGATGTATTGTGTGAGTGGGACCGGACGGCTAAAAAGTTCTTCGACAGCGTTGTTGACATGGCGTGGTAACTGCTCGATGCATGGCTCATAAAGGCATTCATGGCTTTCTTATATTTGTCACAAATGAGCCCAAACTGTGGTGATCTCCCTTTTCCACACACTCGCCTGCGAAAACTACACAGTTTTTTCATAGGGCTCCCTGAAGCTTCTCTGAATAAATGAGCCGTGGGTAACGATCTACCCAGTGAGGTTGGAATTTCAGATTATTTTCCCCAGTGGCTGGATAGCTATATTTTTTAAGAGGGGTCGACGGATTGAGCAGCAGTCTCGCCATTGTTGCTAGATTACTTACACCTTTATTCTTTAAGACTAACAGCCCAAAGTCAAAAGTGTTTCCACTTGTCGCAAAGACAGAAGGTGAACCGGAAGGCGTAAGTGTCATGTCACTTTGCGCAGCATTGATTGCCGAAAATGGGTCACTTGGAGTTACACGGCAGCCAACATCATCTGCCGGCGACGTGTGGGTGTCGTGCTTGTGTTCTTTCTCGAGTGATTCACGTAGACCGGTGCATTCTCCTTAGTCGCTACAGAAGTGCCGAAGCACTTGGCTTTCCACCTGTGCTGAGGAAGGGCAAACTTTGTCTTCCGAAAGAGGCAGCTCTTCTTTGTCCGCTTCATCTGTTCAGACTTTCTTGAAGTAAGACGCAAGTCTAGTTTGTTTTGCTGTTGCAGTGTTTCTTTTCTTCATTTTGATGCTGTCGATTATGTGCAC